CCGTATGCATATCAATTTGCATCAAGCGATGGTTAAATTTTAAATGTGGCACAAAATTTATATTCTGTTTCTAAGTGAACAACCACAAATCTTAATATTGAAACTCAGTAAATAACTAACTTTTCTAGGATGTCTTCCATTTTGGAGAACAGCAAATTTTATAAGTACATAAAGATGAACTGAGGTTTTAAAAATTGAGGCAGATGATATGTGTACCTCTCCAGTGCAGAATTAGAAAAGAAAGAGCACATTGTTTTTTAAATTTATTAGTCAAGAAGTTTACTTAAAAAAAAAAGAGACCCTAACCTATTTTGTGTTTTCTACAAATTATCAGATGGAAAGTAAACCTGCCAGCTATTGTTACAGAATGTTTTCGTCTCTAGAAATAGCTATAAATTAGACCCATTCACCGCTGGAAAGCTCTGAGTTTTCTGAATTCCAATTCTATATAGTTTACATGGTATGCAAATCATGCTCCACTGAATACCGTCTAATGCATTTATTCTTCTTCAAAATTAGCTAAACACTGCCTTTTCCTCCACTAAATCAATCTCTCTGCAAAGGCAGACAGATGTAAGAACACTTGTCTCACACGTGCTGTTGCTTTACTCCTCTTTGCCAAAAATACATGACTGGACAATGGCAAAAAATCTGTTGGGCCCCATTTTCTAAGAACTTAATTTATCATCTGGCTGAGTAGCACCTTGAGTGATGCTCAAGGTGTTGAAGGGAACATAGAAGGATGGAGGCCAAGCTTCCTGGAGGTGAGGTGAGGATTTGGGAATAGAGCTCAGAAGAACAGAAATTAAATTTACTTATATTGCTATGACTTTCTTTAACGCTTATGGGAGAAATTGACAATTTCAGAATAACATTTCTCATCCCTCATCACATCCTATTCATCATCTATACCTACTGGTATTATTGCAATAACTCCATTATTAAAATGTGTTGGAGGGCAGTCATTCTAGATATCTGAACTTTTCGAATGGGAAGGCGCTGACATAACAGAGGATTATTTATACCCTTAAGATCAGTTTTGCTGGGCTCAGCAGCTACTTCACTGAGAAACATAAAGGATATGGCCTTAGAGCTGGGGAAAGTGAGACATAGGTTTGACTTCTCTCAAGCAGTAGTTGCAGCAATCTGAAAAGTGTTCTCTGCAGGAATAATGTAACTGGGAAAGGGTCCCAGCACTCAATTAAGAAGCAATCAAGCCCATCATCAACAATTCTTACGCTGTAAGAACTGTGGAAGCCATTGCCCTCCCACAGGCCCTCCCACTTCCCTGTGTAGAATTTTGAAGTCCACAGGAAGGAAGCTCTTCCAAGAAGCAGAGCATGCAGCAGGACTCTACATTAGGATTGCTGGGCCCCAGACAGACAGCATTCATGGACCCCATCCATTTGTCCTACATGATGGAATAAGTAGCATGACTTAAGTAATAACTGAGGCTCTGAGATAGACAGATTTTGAGTCCCAATCCTTCTATTTTAGCTGTGTAAGCTTGGGCAAGTTAAACTTTCTAAACCTCAATTTCCTCTTTTGTGAAATGAAGATAAGAGTACTACCCACCTCATGGTTTAACAAAAATAATACATTGTGGCTCAGAATAAATGCTTAGGAAATGCTAATTACCCTTAACTGTCAGAATCACCTTATTCTCTCCCTATTCATCAGGACTGGGATGACCAACCTGATTTATCTAACCCAAAAAATGTCTCCCTTTCCCCTATACAGAAGCTGTTTGGAAGGGCCTTAAGTGCTGATGTATATTGAATTTCTGGGCAGGCCTCATCAGTACCGACCCAGCCTCCTTTCTGAAGCACACTTGGTTTTTCAGTTGGGGTAATGCTTGAGAACATGCTCCTTTGGGGCTGGTAGATCAATAAGAGGTTTACATCTCTGCTCTGTATATCTATCAATCTGTAGCAGATTTTCTTCCTGGGTTTGCCCTGATACCTTTCCAGGTAAATCACCCTTTTTCAGTTAAAGAAATGATGTGGATGTTTAACTTATGTGATAGATTTCTACAATAATGTCCCTCAATAGATCCGGCCACCCTCCAGTCGTGCCTTTGGGCAGTGCCCTCCTACTCTGACGTTAGGCTTAGTCACGTGACTTGCTTTGGCCAATAAGCATTAGCAAATTGGATGCAAGGAGATGACTGAAGCAGGCTTGCCTAATATGCTCAACTCTCTTGTTGCTGGGAACTCTCCCAGCCTCACGTGAAGAAACCCAGGTAGTCTGCAGGAGACAATGACTTAACCAAAAGTGCGCACCAGCCTCCATACATATGAGTGAGGCCACCTTAGACTCAAATCCCACCTGAGGCACCAGATGATTGCGTTCACATGAACAGCCCCCGGCGAAACAAGCCCCAGAAGAGACCAGCTGAGCCCAGCCCTAATTGTTGGCAACAATGGACAAATAAAATGGCTGTTGTCAAATGTTTTTGCAAAATGGCTTTAATCCAGTAAGTGCTGGATTGGTTTGTTAGAGCAATAGATAACTGACATAAGTTTTATAAGTACAAGGGTGGACATTTTTGTCTTCTTTGTTTCTAGCAAAGGTAAGGTAGAATAAAACATTGTACTGCATGATGAAAGAATGTGATTTATTTGTGGCAAATCCAGGAAGCGCATTTATTCATTTTAGTTGACTTTAGGTAAATAAGAATGGAAGTGGGGTCCATGTAATTTTTCAAAAATTCAGGTGACAGAACTTTTACCTGAACAAAGTGAGAATTTCTGAATGGCAGGAGAGAGATTTGCTGGCAGCAAGGACATGCCGTGCTCCTGGGAATAACTCCCTGACATCACACTGTTGCGGTATTAATTCTTCCTCCTGACAGTTAACATGCATGAGTACACAGGCATTTTCATCAGTTTTGAAGAACATAGATTTTCATCTGGAAAATGGATATACAAAATCTGGGGGACACAGTTGAGGAATATAGCTGCATAATCTATATTTATGACAAGGAAGCGAATGGGGAACTTACCCTAAAAGAATCTGAAGGACTTGGGATAATGATGAGAATCAAAACAAATGGATGTATTCAGAGCAGAGAGAATACTAAAGCTTTCGACTTCCATGTGGTTCTGGCCCAACATCCAGTCAGAAATAAATACCAAAACTTGCCAACATTTCTGACCAAAAAAAGCACGCAGTGTCAGAAAGGAGTTGTGTTCTTAGATTAAGGCAACACCAAAATTGTCAGGATTCTGGTGGAGGAGGTGGGAATGTAAATAAAAATTATTAGGATTCACTGGAGAAGGCGAGAGTCCATTAACATGCTTATAGGGACCTGAAAGAAATACTAGTTAAATACGTCACCCTGGAGAAGTCATTGCAAGTATTTGATTTGACACTGGTGGTAATAGAAGAATGGTGGAGAAGAGTCAAAAATGGGAAAATCACTTTGACTTCATTAGCTCTCTTCAACCATCACAAACTATAACTATTTTATTCCATTAGGGACTCCTCTTTGAAGTGGGGGCAGACTTTAGCTTACCTTGCCTTACCTTACCTTACCTTCAAAGGTTGTTTTTCAATTTTAATTTAAATTCTACAAATGGTAGCAAGGCCACTTATTGGTCCTCTCCCACCCAGGACCCACTCTTCTCTTAGGAAATCATACCTCATTTCTGCAATGAAGCAGCTACCCCTCCTCTTTATACAGCCTGTGTACGAAGAGTGATGGCTGTTTCCCTGGTGGCACTCCCGGTCAGGCATGTGACCTAGGTTAAGCCACTGGCATGTTCTGGCTACATGGAGGGGCACATGACCTTGTAGAGCCAACAAAACGCCATAAGACTTTTGGGATTGAGGCACGTATTTCTGTTTTGCCAGAACTTGGGGCTGCCGTTGGCATTTTCTGCAGTTTGCAATAGTGGCAGACAGCCATATAAAGTGGACCATTACTTGAGATCTGAATCCAGCCACATCTGAAACCATGCTTATCCCGTGGATGTTTCATTTATAGAAGCCAATAAATCTCATTTTTGCTTACGTCAGTTCATATTAGATTTCCTGTCATTTGCAACAAAGCAAGTACTAACTATGCATCCCTTATCAGATTTTTCAGCTATAGAAGAGGGGAATTCAGCCAGACGATAATCTATATGTAGCCTATAATTCTGACTTTAAGAGAACAATGGGGGAGGAGAAGCCTTATTATATTCTGAAGCAAAATGGGTGTTTCCAGATAAACTGCATTCCAAGCTTGTAATCAATTCATAAAATTTCTTGAGTGCCCACTTACTTCAAGAATGTGATATTTCTTCCTTTCTGCATTATCACTGGAGGTAAATGCATATAAACACATTTAATGCCATTTTCAACATGGGTTGACATGTGCCCTTGAGCATATTGCTAGAGTGATTAGAATCCAGTTGCAGAGAAAGCAATTAAAGGGAGAAAAATGCATTCTCATCTTTTAAATAGCATTTGTTGGACCTGTGTGAAGGTAGTCAATACCTTTATAAATATTGCCCTATACTGTGTTTTTAACTAAAGCTCTGCAGGCATAAAATATTCTTGTCTTGCAAATATGCTACTAACTGAACATACTGGGAATGCTTAGCAGCAATGAAATACAGAAAATGCCAAAGAAATTAATGGCTTTGTGCTGTACTACCAAAACATGTCCACTAATATTTAAAATTCCATGTCCCAGGACATCACTCATATCTGCTGACTTAAGCTGAGAGACCTGGATCTTTGAGGTGGATCAGGCCATTTCTCAAGTCTCTGTTTTTGGGCTTTTGTTTTTCTCTCTTCCACTTCTTTTATCCATCCCTCCATCCTTTCCTCTACCACACCCCCAATTTCCTGGGGTTAATTGAGAATGTTATTTATAAGAGATCAGAAAAGGGTTATACACATGGAGCAGGTTATAGTTTGTCAGGACATATTTTGTATTTCTTAGGTAAAGAACCAAATAAACTAAATATCCATGTCTCATTTCAAATATTTGTGTGATGTCTACATTTATTGGTCTTGAAATTTGTATTTTCAGTGTCTTTCAGGGAAACCTCATAGGCCATGCTCAGTGTTCATCAGTTGCCCATCAATGTCACATCTGAGAACTGCAGTCCTGGATTACCCTGTTGGCATGGTCCTTCCCGGGATGTCTGCCAAAGAAAGCAGAGTGTTGTTACCAACCAGGCCCCACACTGACCTACCTAAGGCCCCCACTCTGTGTTTTTTATGCAATCTCACATCACTAGTAGCACCAGTATGTGTTGTATTTTTCAAAACTGAAAATAAAGGCATGTTTCTTATCTAGGAATTTAGTCCATTCATTCTGTGTGATCCTCATTTCATTTCTCTGCAAACATTTGTTGAATTCTCAGTAGGTGCCAGGCACTGAGATAGGCTCTAGAAATATGTCACTGTTACTCAACCTCTCCTTATCAACGCCCTGCAAATGCCCTTAACTTAAAACATTTGCCACCAATCTCTTACCTACTCCACCCAACAACAAGATGACCAGAGCAGCGGCATTTAGTCCAAAGAACTTACTTTTTTTCCCACCCCTGTGTTCACTACTTTAGTCCATCAAGGCAAAAACCTCGAGCAACATTCCCAGTTCCTCACTCTGTCCCTCACCCACCACATCCAAATCTCCACCGTGTCCAGTTATTCACTCTCTTTAACAGGTTGCTCTACCTGGCCTCTGCTCCGGCCCTCAGAACCACTTGGCATCTCTCCTTCAGGTGTTTCCAACTGCAATTCATTTTTGTGCTGCTTTCGGAGTTAATTTTCTAAAATACAAATCAGACCATATCACCTCCTTGCTTACAAACCTCCCTGGCTTCCTACCTATCTTGTAGGATCAAGTCTCTTCTTTGCATGATAAACTAATCCGGATGCCACCTACTTTCCCAGCCTCCTCCCTTTGTGTCCATCCCCACACATGTTTCTCACCTCACCTGGCCTTACACATCAGCACATGCCTCTGGGCCTTTGAACATGGTGTTCTCTGTTCCTCAGAAGCCCATCTTTACCTTCTATTCTCAACTCATCGTTCAAGAGTCAGCGCATGGGTCACTTTGTGAGGCCCCCCCCTGGTTTCTCCATTTAGTTATTAGTGCTGTTCTCTGTGCTCCCAGAATCCTTGAGCCTTGTCTTTACTCTGGCTTGTTTCATACCCAGCTGTGGTGGTTTGTGAGCTCCCTAGTGTACCTTGTTCCCGTCAGCGTTTTCAGTGTGCAGCTCAGTGCTTGGCTTGCAGTCGGGGCTCACTTGGCACTGTGTAAGAGGCAGATAAATATAAAACATGTTTTCTATCCACCCCCTCCCACCAATAAGGTGCTGTAAGATGTACACACTATTTGTGAAAAATTAACTAAACATGTGTGGTGATAAACAGAGACCAGTGAGTGGGACAGTTCTATGATTTGGGAGAAGAGAAATATTATTTGGGAGTGGGAGGTCAAGGAAGGCTTTGACTTGGATCTTGGAGAGTTGTCATTCAGTAGGTAGAGAAGGGGAAGAGGAAGGACATAAAGAAAAAGAGAAACATCACGAATGAAAGCCCAAAGGCAAGAAAGCACAGGGCTGGAAGGGGCTGTGGGACCAGGCTGTGAGGGGCAAGGAAGGTGAGGCTCAAGAGCATGGACTTTCTCCTGCAGGCAGCTGAAAGATTTTGACCGAGGAAGTAACTGTTGGAAATCATATTTTAGGATCAATTAACAGGTGGTGTGCCAGATGGACTCAAGTTAGAAAAACAAGGTAGGAGCCTATTATACAACCCAGGATGGAGGCCTCCTCCATGGTAGTGACAGAAGTAAGTACAAGGGAAGAGTAGAGAGCTGTCTTGAGGATGGAATTGAAGGGCCATAGTGACTCCTCACTAGAAAGGGAGAGACATGGATGACCCAGAGATTTCAAGCCAAGGAGACAAAAAAGATAAATTTGACTAATAGAAAGTTAATGGAAAGACTAATTTGTGAGGAGATAGTGAATTTTGAGACTGGTTACATTTGATAGAACTTCAGGACCTCTGAGGAGAAATGACCAGCAGGCAATTGGACATGAGACAATATTGTGTGGTGGTCAAGGGCAGAGGTCTAGCCAGACTGGGTTTGCATCCTGGTCATGCCAGTTACTAGACAGGTGATTTTAGGTTTCAGTTTCCTCATCTGTAAGAGGGATGTAATTATAGTCCTTACCTCATAGGGTTGTTGAGAGGCTACATAAGATAATTGTATGTGAAAATATCCCTCACACAGTGTCTGCCATATGGTAAGGCCTCCATAAATACTGGCCATTATCATTAATAACTAAAACTGATAAGAATTCCTTAGAGTTCAGAAAATATTTTAATTTTATTTTTCCAATAATTATGTAAGGTAGGTATTTTTGTTATTACCATCCCATTTAAGAGGGAGGAAACCAGAGCTCAGCAAGGTTACTGGATCATATAACTAGTAAGGAGCAGAGCCAAAAATCAAATCCAGCTTTTCTATGTCAAATCCAATGCTCTTCCACTGAGCCTGCTGACTCTGATTTAGGTCGGGGTGGGGACAGAGGAAGAGGGGTTCAGTCACACAACCTCCAAGCACCACCACATTTCACGACTGGGTTTTGATGTACAGTTTGTATTGTCAGAGTGATAATCCTGTGTGAACTATACCAAAATTATAAAGTCCAGTGGAAAATAATAAATTCTTAAGAGAAGGGGGTCCTTAAATGTTATTTAGGCTGTGCCAAAAGTTTGTTTGGCTTAGGTACTCAAATACCCATCTCAGCCCTGCCAACCTTGCACAATGCTGGTATATATTCACAGATGGGTTTTTTTCCCGTATAATTTATAACACAGAATGCTAATAACAGTCTGATACCTGTCAGCAGGAATCTCACCCAGCTGGAACAGCAGCCCATAAATCTCACATTTCAAGTGATTCTTCCAACATTCAAAAGATTGGGAAATTGTGTTGAAGATGAAATTGACAATGCATTTCTGCCTGGGACTGCGAAAATGGTTATTGCTGACCCCTTTCTGTCTTTGAATTACTGCTTAGATTTCTGTCTGGACATATGGAAAGAAGAAATCTTTGGGGTCATTGCCAGATAAATCTGGCTTACCTTGGATTCCTGAATGGGCAGTATGTCTAAGAATAGACTCCAAGGGGAGATGGAAGAGAACTGAGTGGAACCATAAGAACTGGGCATTTTGCTCACTTTTTCTAATAACTCCTCTGATTTAAAAAGTGAATAAGGTCATGGCATAATGCCATCCAGAATGAATAGTAAAGAGCACTGGAGAAATGGTAGGCACTTTTGAGAAAGCTCTATTATCAAAGGAATGTAAGGAATGAGACGGCCAAATCATATTATTGTACAACGTATCAAAATAGGAGACTGGTCTGCTGGTCTTATGAAAGGTAGAGGCAGGAAATTTCAAATTCGAATCCTACTATGGAAGGGTGATTGCATCATGGCCAAAGGCATTTTTTATTATTTCCATGCCCCTTTTCCCACATCTATAAAAAGGAGTTAATCAAGGGTGTTGCTGAGGTTTAATTAGTTAATACTATAAAGTGCTTTGAAGATGAAAAGAAGATTATGAATAGCCACAGTTAAGTCCTCTTTTAAGAAGTATGGATTGAAGTTAAGATTTAACAAATCATATGTCCCAAAATAGCTGGGGGCAAATGAAGGTGGCTTAGCTTTGATAGGTAATTTTCCCTGACATCACTCAGATACTGCAGCTGGTAGGAAAATGATGGGACCTTACTTGGGCTTTTCAGAATTCTGTTGAAAGAAACAGAGAATAAATAGTTTGTCTCCATCAGGATAAGAAAATCAGGAAATCTAAAGAAAAATAAAAATGGATACAGTAACCATAGTGAGTCTCCTCTTCCCAACCCCCTATCCTGCAGGACAATCTGGCCATGAACTCAGAGCTCCTAGAGAGGGGAGCTGGGCCTTCCCAGCCAGGCACACATAAAATAGTTTCCCTCAGATCAGAGTTTTTTGGGTGGTGGTGTCAGATAATGGAGAGTAGGGGAAAATGCCTGTGGCATTAGTGAGGCTTAGTTTCAGGTTCCCCTCAGCTTTCTAGTGTGTGATGCTGAGCAAGCTACCTCTAGGAACCTTGGTTTCTTCTTCTGTGAAATGGGGATCATTCCTTCCTCCTAGAATGCTGTGAGGAGAGACTGAAATAACTAGTAGGAAGTACCTGGCATATAGTTCTTTCTGACTATATAATTACTTTCATCCTATTTTTCTTTTTCTTCAGCCCAGACTGTTTTCTCAGAAAATTCTGAAATGCCAATGTGTTGCATTATTGTTTTCAATTCAGAAGTGTTGGGGTTGTTCTATTTACTTTCATATTTTCACTGGAGAATCTTAAGCGATCATTTCCACTGTGAAAACAGCACTCCAGGGGAGCAGAGTGTTTTTCACTGAAGGTTGTTTCGGGGGAAACTCAAGTTAAAAAAACAAAGCAAAACACCCTAGATTATTTTTTAAATCCCAGATCTCTATGCAGCTGTCTTTCTATTCTGCTATCTTGCAGCTGAAATCCTGACATTAAGTTCCTGAGAATGAAATCTCTCTGAAAACATAATTCATGGTAAAGGGGAAACACTTGGGGCCACCGGGTTTGTGCTGTGCTTTTCACGCTGTGTCTATTCTCAAAATGACCAAGGCCCTTTTGTTTGAAGTAAAGGAGCCCATGTAGGCATTCCTGTGGGGCTTTTATGAGGTAGTGTTGTATTCTCAGCAAACCCCAGCCAAAAGTCCTCATTGAGATTCACACGTACCTAGAATGGTTACAGCTGGGGACAAGGAGGAAGTTCAAGATCATAAAGTGTCTCCTGGGCCCCTATTTTACTGATAAGGAAGCTGAGTTCCAGGCTCCCAAGAGATGTACATACAAAATATGTCAGAATCATTCACCAGGTGGGTAAATACCGCTCTGCTCTCTACCATTCATGAGCCAGTCATCATCAATGTGTGACCCCCTGCTGTAGGAAAAAACTCACCGAGATTTATAGTTAAGGTACCTAGATGTCTAAAAAGCAGAAAAAGAACACTTTAAAATACCAAAGTTCAAAAAAAACTGAACTTCAAATCAGGGACAGTGAGTTGGGTGAGTCCTAGAGGTTGGATGGATGGATGGGACACATCTGTTAGGGACAGAATGTGGATTGTAACACTTGGTCTGTGGAGAGTTACTCCAATGAAGTTAGCATGGCATTGCCAGTCTCCCCTCTCCTCCCCTGGCTCTCTGCTGTCAGCAATGCATCTCTCAGTGCAGAGCACAAAGGTATGAAGCAGTGAGCAGAGATAGATACTATATACATTTTATGCTTTGAATATACACCTGATGTTTGGCCATACACCAATTTGGCCAATTGTGTATCGCAAGCCTGCTGCAGTTTGATTTATAAAGGAATTCATTTCAGAGGGAAGATGGAGTGCTGACTTCCTCGGTACCAGGTAACCTATGTAAGCCACAGGGTATAAGCAGGAAAGAGAGAAAAAGCAAGCGATGAAGGCTGTACAACGCCACTCACCTCAGATGTCCAACCTATCCCCAGCACGCCCCACCACAGAATGAGGACTGAGGCAGCTCAGCTCATTAGGTCCTTGGCCATCGCCAGGGAAAGGACATGCCTGCCATTCTTTGCATCTATGAAGACCAGCAACCTCTCAGGTCCTTCAGCCTGTTAAATAGGGTACACAGTTAAAGTAGACAAGAGGAGAGAAGGAACCCAATGCTAGATTCCATTTCATCTTTCCATCTGTCCCAAATACTTAACCATGTAAGAGAAGCAGAAGGCCAGGCAGCAGATTTTACCATGTTGGTGTAGTTTTAGCATGATCTCTTGGGGGCTTCTCAGCCTTGGTCCCCCTTGGCTGAGGGTGTGGGGCTAAGTGCAAGAGTGGGGTGCTCTTGGGTAACAGTCTCCCTTTTAGTTGTTACACCACAGATGAAAAACACTGACTATGTCCTTGATGTAGAATCACTTACCATATTGCCCCAATTTGTTTAGTTTCTGTGTTTTCAGAAACAAGATGAGTTTTCATCATCTCACTTCCCATCTGTGCTCCAGCAGTTCTGTCCTGTCAAACCATTCTGCCGACACCATGTACCTTCCTGGTGACTGCATGCCTTACGCACCCTTGCACTCTGCCTGGGATGCCTTCTCCCACTTTTGCACCTGGCCAGTTCCTCCTTCTCCTTCCAGATCCAATTCAAATACTGTCAAATACCTCCTCTAAGAAACCAGAGTTCCAGGTCTTTTCTCACCTACATCCTTATCACAGTGGCATAGGGCAAATATTTATTTACATGTGTATGATTTCACTAAGCTCTGAATTCCTTGAGGGCACAGAATCTGATATTCAATTTTTGAAAAATATCCCATTACTAGCACATTCTTTGGAGAATAAAATATGTCCAATATATGTTTATAGAGTGAAGAAATGACTGAAAGAAACCCAGAGCCAAAAATAAAAGGAAACTGGCAGGGAAAAATATTTTCAACAAATACAAGAAAGAAATGATTATTAGCCATAATATATAAAGGTATTTTTCAAATAATAAGAAAAATATGAACATAACAATAGAAAAGTAGGCAAAGGACAAATATTGACAATTAATTAACAAAGAAATACAGTTAAAAAATAAAATTTATGAACATATTTCAAATGCATTATCAAAGGGATGCAACTTAAAACAATGAGATAATTATGTTCCTATATCAACTTGGCAAAAATAAAAACATAATTTTCAGTGTTGTTGAGGTTCTAGTGAGATAGGCACTTTGGTGAGTCTGAAATTATTTTTTCTGGAAAGCACTTTGGATACGTGTATATATATATATGTACCAAAAGTTTTAAAAGTGTTTATATATGCTTTGTCTTAGTATCCCAGTTCTAGGCACCTATTATAAATAAATAACTATAAATGTCATAAAATTCCATGTATAAGGATAACATTCAATGAAATATTTATAATATCAAAAATATGAAAATAACATAAATGTCCCAAAATAGTTTAAAAAGTATCTGCCCACGATGGAATATCATACAGTCATTATGAGAAAAACAAAAACAAATGTGTTTCAAAGAAAATGTCAAAGGATATACAGGAAAATATTTCTCATATAACATTATGAAAAAGAGTAAGATGCAAATTATATCTATAACATGTTTCCCATCTTGTAAAATACAGATAACTATATAGATTGATATTTATGAAGGAAAAAACCTAGGAGGATATATACAAATATTAACTGTAGTTTATATCTGAGTGGAGAGATTATGGGTGATTTTTATTTTCCTTTTTATGATTTTATAATTTCTTTTCTACATTTTTCATAATAAGCTTTATATTAGGACACAAATGAGCTTTTGTACTGAGAATAAACATTTAAAAAGAACTATAGGATACCACTATACAATTATCAAAATGGCTTAAAAAGAACAGTGATAACACCAAATGTTATGAGGATGCAGAGAAACTGGATCACTCATACATTACTGGTAGGAATGTAAAGTGGTGCACTCATTTGGAAAAAGAGTGTAGCAGTTTCTTACCAAACCTGTGCTTACCAAACAACCCAGCAACTATACTCTTGGGCATTTATCCTTTAGAATAATAATTTTACACAAAAGCCTGTACACAAGTGTTTACAGGAATTTTATTTGTACTTGACAGAAACTGGCAATAACTCAGTCTCAGTTGTCTTTTAATGAGAGAATGGTTAAATGAACAATGGTACATCCATTCCATGGACTACTACTCAGCAACCAAAAGGAACAAAGTACAACTTGGATGGACTTATCTCAAGTGGAAAAAAAGTCAATCTCAAAAGGTCATCTACTATATGATCCATTTATGTGGCATTCTTGAGATGACAAAAGTATAAAGATGGGGAACAGATGAATGGTTGCCATAGGTTAGGTACAGGAAGAAGGTGGCTATGAAAAGATAGCTAAGGGATCTTTATGATGGACCCCCAACTTCCCAGTTGTGACATTGTACATTAGTTTTGGGAGATATTAACTGAGAGAAACTGGGCAAAGGGTATGGGGATCTCTCTGAATTTCTTTTTTACAACTGCATGTGAGTCTACAATTATCTCAAAAGGTTAAAAAAATGGAAGAAATGGACAGGAACCTATAAATTAAATGAGAGTTAAGAGATATATCAACCAACTGTAATGTGTGCTTATATCTAATTATTCCTGATTCAAACAAGTTCTAAAAACACGTGACATTTGTGAGACACTACAAATGTTAACAGTAGCTGAGTTGATGCCCTTAAGGAATTACAGGGGTTTTTTTTTTAGATGCAATGGTGGTATTGTGGTTATGTTTTAAAAAAATGAGTCCTCATCTTTTAGAGATTCAAACCAAAATGTTTACAGATGAAGTCATGTGATATCTATATGTGCTTCAAAACAATATGAATGGGAAGAGAATAAGGTGGTGACTGGTTAGTCTGAGCCACAGGTGGATGTATAAATTGGCATATATTATAATAATCTATTGATTTTTGTGTATTTCCCAAATTCCCTATAATAAAACTTTTTTTATTAGGGAAAAAATGAAAAGAAGGGCAAATCTCCAAGAAAACTCTTCCAGGGTACTTATCTGCTCATCAGCAAACATGTGGCTTCTGTCTGAGCACTTTGTCTAACGAGCCACTGTGCAAGGCTTTAAAGATTTAAGATTTGGTCATAAAGAGGCCACTCCTTCCCAGAGCTCAAGGGCTAGTAGGAGCAAAGAGACTGTGAAAGCAAATAAATAGGTTTCTAGATGGTCGGTGCTCATAAGGATTATACAATAGTGGAAGAACTGACTGTTCTTTGCAGCCATGAAATGGGGCCTGGGCCGCATCTACAAGGACTTGATGCAGCCTGAGTCTGTCACAGTGAGGAGAGTTCTTGAAACCCAGACTTGCGTCCTAAATAGGACTCAGCATCACCTGTCCCATCAATGCTTTTCATTTCAAATCCCATTCCAATCCAAATTGTATTACATTCTTTTTGTCAACTGACTCTTCTGTCACCTTCAGGGAGTAGCCGAAACAAAGCTAATGCTATTTACTGACATCTTTCAGTTCTCAGAACAGGATGATTTGAGCTCAGATTCAATCTCTCTCATCATCAACCTCCCCCCACCCCGCCCCCACCATCACAAGGTCCTTGAACCTTTCAGCTGTGGTTTCACCATCCAGATATTGAATCAGAAGAAACTGTTAAATGAGCCTTTTAGAAGGAAGGAAATTTGGTTATGTGTCTTAGGGAAAAAACAGGACATAATTGCATTTGATGAGGAGTGTTTTGTTTCAACTTCACAAAATAGAAGCCTAAGTGAAAATAAGGTATTTCATGCACACACACACTATTATATATATATAAATACAGGTAGAAAGTATATACATAGAAAATCACATTACGGATGCTGCTTAATCCTTTGTAGTGCAGAGGATGGCATGTAGTTAGCAGTATTAAGGCTATAAATTACGTTTCATAGAGTGTGGTTTCTCCACAAAGCCAGCTGACAAGGCCCACTGTGATTAATGCTACACCAGGGAAGGCGTGAAGAAGCTGAAGACGAGGAAAGGAGGGGTGCGGCAAATGAGACACAGAGACAATGGAGAGAGCAGCCTCTTTGGCCCTAGGTCTGAGGGGACAGCACTCCTGGACTTGGTGGCCAGTGGATGACACCGCCTTAGCTTATAAAAAAATAAACAACAACAAAACAACTACCCAACATGTAAGAAAAGCATTAACCTCTATTTTGTGTATTGTTGTTAACATATATTGTTTATCAGTGCCATGTTCCATTATTACTAAATAGAGAATCAATAAATTAAAACATAAAAGACCTACAGAAATAACAATCGCCAAATAAAGGTAAATCTTCTACTGGGAGTTACCAGGAGGCCTGGCCACTGGAGCAAAGCATTTGTTTCCGGCTTCGCCATTTGTCACTATTGATTCTGCCTGTGAGAGAGGGAGAGCTCCCCTGCCCTGACAAAGGGTGATTTATCCTCCTTCACAATACAATTTGCAACCTTCAGTCTCATTTGAATCCTTACATCTAGAGTCTTTATTCTGACTGGAGAAACCATAAAGGAATTAGGTTTTTGTCTCACAAGTCTGCCTATAATTACTTTTAGTATCAAATGATTCCCAAAGCTAGATGTCATTTTGAGGGAGAGAAATCTTGGCCTTAGATAATAGGTTCAAATACAGTACATAACCAGCTGTGCCTGGAAGCAAAGGAGGTTCCGCGATGGTACAAACGTGAGAAGGAAAAATGGCCTTGCCTGAGTCAGCCCTTAGCTCTGTCTATTTCCAAGGAGTTGCTTACTTACTATCCTCACATGGTTTCCAGTTAGGAAAGGCCATTTTTTAGGAAATGGCTTAATTATCAAAGCTATCTTTTATTGTGATAATAAGAAAAAACAACTCATTGTAAGCAAGTCATAATTAGTGAGATAAAAAAAATTTTTTCCAATATAATTCAACAAACAGCTGTAGAGCTTTCAGTAAAGTAATTTTTGAGTTTGTGATTTGCAACTGAAGTCTGGAAGGACAACGAAGCATGTGCCAGGGACTTGAAGCCTCCACTCCCACATGGTGCCACCTCTTGCTACTCCCATTGGGTTCTTGGCTGCCCACTGCCCCA